CGCTGCCGTGGGCACCGAGAGGGCGGGGGCAGCCCTGGAGGCAAGGGCTCCCCGGCCGCCTGCGCGTCCCTCGCTGCACGCTCTGTCCTCTGGGGTGGGGGACAGCTCGACACCACACCGGCCTCTGCTCAATTGTGAGCCGAGGAAGCTCAGCACCCTCGCCGCCGGTGCCAGATCCTGCCTCTGAAAAGCTCCCGGGCGCTTTCTCTTCCCTCCCGGCCGCGCTCACCCGCCGCTCAGCCTGCGGGTTGCCAAGTGGCAAATAGGCCGGCTCTGTTCTAGGGATTCCGGGGGCCATTCTGAGCGAGGATGTCCTGCCAGCCAGCCCTTCCTCCCTCTGTCCCTGCAGGAGTGGGGAAGGGCTGGGGCGGGGCGGAGGGCTGGGGCTTGGGGACAAGATCACCCTGGGGGATATTCCAGAGGCCCCAGGCAGAAATGACCCAGGATCTTTGGTCCACATATCCTTATTGACAAAAAGAGGCAGCTGACCCGAGACCCATGTTTCGCCAACTTGATTTTTTTAAAAAATTACATTAAATTTTAATTTATCTTAATCGCAGAGGTTTTTTCTTGCCACCTTAAATCTTGTGCTTTGAAGCAAATGCCTCACCCTGGTCCTCACCCATCGTTCGTTGGGAGACCTTAGACTGTCCCCATAACTGACTGTCTCCTGACCCCCAACTGTCCCCTGACCCTCCTCCTATGCCCCAGGGAGGAGTGGGGATACATTGTTCCCATCCTGCTTGGAAGGGAAACTTCTTTCTTCCTTGCCTGGGTAGGGTGGGCCTCTGCTACTTTGTGGGTAGCTCACAGAAGTGACCTCACCAAGGGTGGGACCAGGAGAAGAGGCTGCCAGAGGGGAGGGTGGTGGAATTCTAGGAAGTGAAGACTGGGAAGAGATCTAGATAACCCAGGCAGGGTGCCACCGAGACCCGGGTGCCACAGGAGGGCAGAGACTGAGCAAGAACCCTGATCTCTGGCCTCTTTTGGCTGGTCAGTGACTTTGAATTCAACCCTGAGCAGGGTGTGGTGAGGATGGGGCCCCAAGAGGATGGAGACACTGTCTGCTTGGCCTGAAGCCCTAGAAGATGGGGCAGCCCAGTACCCGGTGTACTTCCCCTAGGACTTCCAGGGGCCACCCCCCAGCCTCCAACTCTGATGGTGGTACCTGGGAGGATGTTTCTTCAGCGATTTAGGGATTGAGAATTTTCTGGACAGGAGGCAGCCAGAGATATGGAAAAGCTGACGGCCAGCTTAACTGCATTCACTGTGTGTGACTTCACCCCTTCAAGCTTCAACTTCCCATTCTGGAAAATGGGGATTGGAATTCTGTCTAAGTTACTTTTCTCTCCTTGCTGAGACAAAATACCTGACACCCCAAATTAAGAAAGGAAAGGTTTATTTAGCTCACAGTTTGTGGAGGTTTCAGTCCATACTCAGCTCCAAGGCAGGGTGGCACATGGCAGAGGGCAACAGTTCAAGGCCACAGAAGACAGCAAAAGAAGCAAGAGCAAAAGTAGGGAGGAGCGAGCCTCTTTTCCTCCCTTATATTGTATGCAGGCTCTCCACCCTAGGGTGGGTCCTTTACACCCACACCATCTCAGTGCCCTCCTCTTGCACAGGCTCAGGGCTCAGGATCAGGGCTCAGGACGTTTACAAAGGGAAGACCCTGGCCCCCTGCTGAGTAGCTTAGTTAAGCTTCTAAACTTCTCAAGTTGACACAATGTATCAACCATTACAGAATTCCTAGCTCAAAGCATTACTTCAGTAGGGAAACTGAGGTACTGTCTGGCCCAGTACCAGCTTACAGAAAGCACCCATGAAATAAATTTTCCTTCTCCTTTGCTTACATCCATAATTACTCACTCAGCTCCATTCCTGTGACTGACACTGTCCTTCAGGTCACTCACTATGGGAATTAGTGACTCATCCAGGCCTTGTCCTCTGTCTCCTAGCTTGTACTCATTTTTCTAGGTAACACTGCTCACCCACCTGCACCCAGGCAAAGCACCCTGCTGCTTAGACTGGCCCGGCCCGTGGCTGGGTAGCATAGGAAACCCCATATTGGGATGTGCTGGGCCAAGGAAGCAGCCCAGGGTGAATCCCCAGCTGACCCCACACCTCTTGGGTGCTGAAACCCTGGGGAATCCTCGTTTACATCCTCCTCCCGAAACTGCTCTTCTACTCACTGTCTCTTCTTGGCAGGCAGGCTGCCCAGGTCTGGGGGCTGCTTGCCAAAGGAGAAGCTGCCCTTCTTGAAGAAGGGCCCATGCAGCGGGGCTGCTGCTCCCCCTTGCCTACTCCCTCTGTCTCTGGGGATGCTGATTTGATTTCCTCCAATCGCCAGCATTGCCATCTGCCTGCAGTAATTAAATGGTACTTGAACTGGATCCAGAAATCCCATCGCAGGCAGACACGTGGGGAAGAGGGTGTCCTCAGGAGCTCCTACTTGTCTGCACAGCTCTGGGGTTCTCAGAGCTGCCTGGGGCAGCTCCTTGGTTTACCTGGACGCACCTGAATGGCCTGGAAGGAGGTATCTGTCTTAGGCTAGAGCCCTGGGGGCCAGAGCCCAGATTCCTGTCCTGTGTCATGTGCATCCACACTCCTCCTTTTTCAGTTGCTGTGTGTTCTACTTCCCAAGTGTGAGACGCTCTCTGGGCCCTCCAATACCTGGTCCCTGGAGGCAGTGTAGTATAGGACCATCCAAAGGGCAGTGTGTACAGACTGTTTGGACTCAAGTTGGCTCCTTACTGTCGGTGACTAGTGCTAACCTCATTATGGTGGTTAGAATTAATACGTGCTGGTCTGGTGGCACACACCTGTCATGCCAACACTTTGGAAGGCAGGGCAAGAAAATTACAAATTTGAGCCCAGCCTAGGCAACTTACCAACTTAGTGAGACCCTGTCTTAAAAAAACAAAAAAAAGGTTGGGGATGTAGCTCAGTGTAAAAGCCCTGGGTTCAACCATCGTTACAAACCCTCCTCCCCACACACAAAGAGTTAATTTGTGTCAGGGCTGTAGTTACTGCTTGGCATATAGAGTAAGAACTCAGCATGTGTCTGCTGCCGTGATTAGAGATAGAAGTCAAGGTAGGAGCCTTGCTGGGGTGGACATGGGCAATGGGTGAAGTTACCGGTTTGCAGGTCCAAAGAGGATGAACACGAATCAGCTTTGCCCTTCCCAGCTAGAAACCAAGTCAGGTGATCGCTGAGAAGCTGATTCTACCTTCAGCTTAACCCAGAACCCTCTGCATACAGGTGGCAACCTCTTTGGGCTTCCATTCCTCGCCCTTCAGAGGAAACACTTCTGAAGGAAGTCCTTCAGGTGGGGACTGGGCCTGAGGGCCTTAGACCAAGGGTCTCCCTACTTCCTCAGTCTGCTCCCTCATGGCAAAGCGCAGGCGCCATGTGAGCACTGGGCCTGTTCTGCAGCTCTGAGTGGGCCTTGAGGGCTGACCCAGCCTGGGACCTAGAATGGCAGGTTGAAGGGCCAGGTTCTGCAGCTAGGCGCCTCTGGTCCCTGGGTGGCTTGGTCCTTCTTTCTTTTCTTTTCGTATAAATGCTGGCTTAGGGAGAGGGAGCCTGACAAGTGGCTCATTGTGCGTGTCCGGCCTATGGGGCTGGCTTGTGAGGGCCCATGGACACCACAGACTAACCCCCCTTTACTTTAGGGTGTTTGGGGTGCTTTCTGCCAGTGTCTACATACGCATGTTCGCTGACTCATGCTTGGTTGCCATGGGGACCTTGTCATGGTGATGGCTGCTTAGGAGAGGGAAGAAGGGTGGCTGGATGGAGACAGTTCTGCCCTTCTTCCCGTGGCTGGCTCCCTACTCAGTCTTCATGCCGCTTTCCCTCCCCTGTACAGGGAAGCCTGCCAGCATCTGGGTTGTGGGCCCAGCTTGTGGCTGACCTAGTGTCCCTTATACAGGTCCCTACCATTTACCAGAAGCTTTTCACTCGCCCTGGGTTGCCAGGGTTGTGCCTGGTCTGGCCCTGCAGCTCCTGGGAAGGAGCCAGAGCTTGTGCCTGAGAATGTCCACCAGGCTCTGGCATCTGGGCAGGGGGCTGCTGGGCTTCGTCATTGTCATTAGTCATTTTTCATCGCTGAGACACAATACCTGACATCTACAGCTTAAAAGACGAGAGGCTTATTTTGGCTCACAGTGGTAGAGTTTCAGTGTGTAGACAGCTGGCTCCAGTTCAGAAAGGGGAAAGGGAAGGGCCTGCGGAGGAAAGCTGCTCACATCATGGCAGCAGGATGCAGAGCGAAAGCAGGGGCTACAGGAAGGAGATCCACCCTCCCAAGCCGTGCCCCCAGGGGCCCACCTCCTCCAACCAGGTGCCTCCTCCTGATAACACATTTAGCTATAAACTCATTGCTGGACTAATCCACCCGTGACTGTGGTTCCCCCTGTGAGCCAGTCACTTCCCCAGAGCCCTGCCTATGATCACACAGGCTTTGATGGGACATCTAGATACCATAAACCATAGCAACTTTGCATCCTGCACAACCCTTGGCAGAAGCTCTGACCTCCTCCAGGACTTAATTGCAGCAGGAGGAATGTGATGTAGCATTTGGGAAGGCACCAGGCCTGCCCCTGTCTTGCTGGTTTCTAGCTTGGACTATGTGCTTTCGGTCACATGGACCTGGGTCTAGCTGTCCCTCTTCATCATACAACTTTGGGGAAGTTGTTTATACTTTCTCAGCCTCAGATTTCTCATCTGTAAAATCAGGCAAACAATAGGCACCATATGGGTTTGTAGTGTGGCGCACAGGAGTTAATTTCTGCACAGTACTTTTCAACACAGCTTCAAGATACACGGGACGCTCTGCAGATGTTAACAACTGCTGGTTTTGGTGATGTTTGTATTATTATGACTGAATTACCAAAGCTCTGGAGCTCCGAACTTCCTTCCTCTTCCAGCTGGTGGAGAAGTGAAAGGTGGCAGATTATATGCAAGAAGAAGACCTGACCCAGGATTCTTCCTATCTTGGCAGGATCCGGCCTCAGCTGTCAAAGGAGAAGATTGAGGGCTGTCACATTTGTACCTCTGTCACCCCAGGGGAGCCCCAGGTCCTGCTGGGGAAGGACAAGGCCTTCACCTATGACTTTGTCTTTGACTTGGACACATGGCAGGACCAGATCTATACAACCTGTGTGAGCAAGCTCATTGAGGGCTGCTTCGAGGGCTACAATGCCACAGTGCTGGCCTACGGGCAGGTAAGCCCCTCTGCCCCCACCAGTGGCCATCTGTCTTGTATATCTTCCCCCATCTGGTGGGGGAGGCAGCCCCACCTCTAGAGCAACTGAGACACAGCAATGTAGTTTTGTCTGTTGTCTGAGGCTGCTGCTGTGCTCCTGTTGACAGAGGGCAGCTGTTGCCAGAGACTTCCGCTGGGTGTGTAAGGGGAGCCAGGCTGAAGGTAGATGGGTGAGAGGTGGGGCAAAGGCTGGGGGAGTCAGATGCCACCTTCATTCTGTCTTTGCCAATGCAGACGGGGGCTGGGAAAACATACACCATGGGCACTGGCTTCGACATGGCAACATCGGAGGAAGAGCAGGGTATCATTCCAAGAGCCATCGCACACCTCTTCGGGGGCATCGCTGAGCGCAAGCGGCGGGCACAGGAGCAGGGCATAGCTGGGCCTGAGTTCAAAGTCAGCGCTCAGTTCTTGGAGGTACCACGGTCTGTAGGGTGGGCAGGAGGGAGACATGGCGGGTGTCATAGGCACTGGACCCTCCTCCAGTGCAGGGGAATGAGCCTAGGGAGCCGTGGGGGCATTGACAGGTGACAAGTTCCTTAATGCTGGAAGTATCCAAGCAAGGCCTGGAGGACCACCTGGTGGGACACTCTGAAGGGTTTCCTGTATCAGATGAGGCTGGAGCTGACGCCCTATAAGACCTTGAACCCTGATTCTAGCTCTGACATTTATGACCTTGTGCATGTCATTTCAGTGCTTTGAGTGAAGATGGCTTAGAGCACATACCGGGTGTGGGGTGAGAGCTCCTGTTCTCTCCCTTCCTTCCGGCCTTCTCTGGGTCCCTCCTCTACCTCTGAGCAGCCTGCTCGTCCCTTTCTGGCTGAGATGCTCCCTGCCCCTCTGTGGGTTCTCAAGCCACAGGACAGAAAGGTCCTCCAGAAAGGGCCTTCTTTTGCCTCTGATCCTACCTGTCTCTGGGAGGATGTCAACCCAGAACTGTGGCAGTCAGGCACTGTTGGAGTGAAAGAGTGGATCTCTGGGCTTCTGATACTGGCTGTGCTGAGCCCCAAGTCAGGAACACCAATGATTGCAGCTCCCTTTTGTGAAGGGAGCTCTTAGAAGGCTTTCTAGGACAGCAAGTGGACCTTTCCCTCCTGAGAGCTTGACTAGGCTGCTTCTCTGGGATACTTGGTTAGACAGCTCCAGTTCTCAACATCTCAGCCCCCAAGGATCCAGCCCTAGGGCATTTTCTAGGTCTGAAGCACCCTGGGGTCTCACCCTAAACCCTGGTTCTCTGACTGTACCCTGGTTGTTCTTAGAAAGAGGGATGGGTGTGGCTTCAGCCCTGTCCTTGCTGCCTCATGTCCCATCCCCTGTGCCTGTCACCCCCTCCTGGGCTATAGAAGAAGGAGGCAGGGCCACTGCCTTCCCCTTAGGGGACCTGTATTTTAGGCTCTGGAGCTTTTCTGTGTCCTTCTGGGCTTCTGCTTCTGATAAACTGCCTATCTCTATGTGTGTGTGTACCCTGTTCCTTGCGTATCACTAGAAGCTTTTCTTTCACAGCTCCTTTTCTTCTCCATCCTTTTGTCATGGAGACCCCCCTGAAAAGCAGGGCAGCCCCTAGATAATCCATACCAAGGTAACCACAAGGTGTTAAATGATACAACACTACGGCACCCCGTCTTTACCATCTCATCCTTCATTATCTCCTCCTTCACCACCTCTCCCACTTCCTGGGGGATATTTCTGTCCCTTCAAGGCTATCAAAGCGTTGGATGTCCAAGGGCTGCAGTTCCCCCTCCCCTCCTTCCCCATGAGATTCTCTGGGCTGCCCCCACTGTCCCCGCCCCTTTGCCTCCTCCCCAGCCCCAGCTCTCTGTCTGCTGGCCATCCCAGCGCTTTAGCAGGTGACAGTTTCCCTGTCCTCAGTTCCACTCACAGGAATCTCTTTGGCTGAGACCGAAGTAGTGTGGCCACTCCTGGCCAGGTCAGCTCCCCACAGTGGTATTCCCAGGAGGCGGAACACTGCGGCCTTTCTCCATGTTGCCCTCTCCTCCAAAGCATAGGACACAGCCGCATTCCTCTCACTAGGAGACCATCATCACCTCAATCCCAGGGACCATCAGGATTGGGGTGTGGCTCCTGGTTTTCATTGCCCTTTTGCATCTGGAATCACATCCTCCTCTCCTCTTTCCCAGTCCAGTTATGTAATCAGATCTGCCCAAATCATGGTTGTATCCTCCTCATCTCTGATATACAGGACCTACATCCATTTGTCCCCTTTAGGTCCTAAGCCCACCTGGGACTGAGAGCTGCTGGATGCTGGTTCCTTGGGAAGAGGAGCAGTGGTGTACAGCCTAAGACCCAGCTGATCTTCCTTCCCTGTCTAGTAGGAGGGTCCTGGAATTTAGCACCCAGAGGGGAACAGGGCTGGGCAAGCTAATCAGCTGGGTGTCGTTTTCCACTTGTACACAATGGAGGTTTATAAACATGAAAAAGCTCCTTTGGGCCTGGCACTGTGTGCCGCACAAACCCAGCCACTGTTTCCTCCTGGCACAGCTCTACAATGAGGAGATCCTTGACCTGTTCGATAGCACTCGTGACACTGACGCCCGCCACCGCAGGTCCAACATCAAGATCCATGAGGATGCCAATGGCGGCATCTACACCACAGGCGTCACTTCTCGCCTCATCAACTCCCAGGAGGAGGTGAGCGTCCTCTGGCAGTCCAGGTCAGGCATGGGGCCTCCTGAAAGACCAACAGTTGGCAGCACAGTGGTCTTGAGTCCTCACATCTGTTTCTGTCCCCAGCTGATCCAGTGCCTGAAGCAAGGCGCCCTGTCACGCACCACGGCCAGCACCCAGATGAATGTACAGAGCTCCCGATCCCACGCCATCTTCACCATCCACCTGTGCCAGATGCGCGTGTGTGCCCAGCCCGACCTGGTGAGCCCTTGAGGTCCAGCAGCTGCGTGCTACAGGGGTACCCCAGGGAGGGCGAGATGACAAGCTAGCAAACCGGAGTGAGGGCTCACTTCTGCCGCTTGTTGATTTTTTCTTTTTTCTTGAGCTTCATTCACCCCATCAATGGGATGGTAATGACACCTCTACTGCTGTGGAGATGGAGTGGGGGTCCAGTGCATGCAAGTACTGGGTTCACGTTAGGTGCTCTGTGCATGCACAGGGGTGAGGTATTGCGTGTCTGTTCTATGGGAGGTCAGTCAGGAACGAGAGCCAGCAAGGTGGGGCCAAGGCTGGGGCAGTCAGATGCCACCTTCTCCTGCAGGTGAATGAGGCAGTGACCAGGCTTGCAGACGGCGCAGCTCCTACAAGCGAGTATGAGACTCTCACGGCTAAGTTTCACTTTGTGGACCTGGCCGGCTCAGAACGCTTGAAGCGGACAGGGGCCACCGGCGAGCGGGCCAAAGAGGGCATCTCCATCAACTGTGGCCTGGTAGGCACATGGAGAGACAACAGTCCCAATAGTCAGGACAGCTCAGGTTCAGACCCTTCCAAGGCTCTCTGACCCCATGGCTGCCCAGTCTTTCTTGGGCCTCTTGCCAGCTGCTGTCCAGGGCACCCAACCCATAGTCATCACCTTTAGGCCTCTAACCCTTCACTCTCAGCCCTTACCCTTGGCCCAACTCCCTAATTTTACCAGTTTGTCAAATCTGCCTATAGACCCAACCAGGAGCCTGAGGGCTACTGGGGCCAGCTGGACAGGTAGATGGCTTGGGGATTGTGTTGTGCGGGCCCTTCCTCCCTGAGGGACTCTTGAGCTGCAGAGTCTGTCTCCTGCAGCTGGCCTTGGGCAATGTCATCAGCGCCCTGGGAGACCAAAGCAAGAAGGTGGTCCACGTGCCCTACAGGGACTCCAAGCTCACTCGGCTTCTCCAGGACTCACTGGGGGGCAACAGGTAACTGACAGCATGCTGGGAAGACCCAGGGGAGGCAGAGAGGTTCCTGGGGCTTTCTGCTAAGAGGGTGGGGTACACCATAGTCCTGTGGAGGAGGAGAAGGTAAAGGAGGAGGTAGAGGAGGAAGAAGAGACCTTCCCACCTTGCGCTGCAGGCACCTTGAGATGTTTCATGACCTTTGGCCAGTTATGTTCAAACTCAGTGTCCTTATCTGCAAGGCTGGAAGAGCTATTCCCAAAGGAAGTCCTCTACCCAAAATGAGATAAGAGATGGGACATGGTAGAAAAACACAGAGGCCATGCATGTCCTCATCACTAAGCAGAGGGTTCTGCAGTTAGGCATCCTTACGTTGCTAGCCACCTTCATGCGGCTACCTTCTCACCATGGACGCTCTGGGCCAGGTGGTCCAGAGCATTATGCCCCAGGCTCTACTTTTCTGAATGCCCACTTCCTTTGGGTCCAAGGTCATGTGACAGAGGGTAGGAGCAGGATCTCTGCTCCAAGGTGGTGCTTCTGGGGTGGCTCTGTTCCTGGTCCTCACCCCAGCCTGACCACACCTCCAGCCAGACCATCATGATCGCCTGTGTGAGCCCCTCAGATCGGGACTTCATGGAGACGCTCAACACACTTAAATATGCCAATCGGGCTCGCAACATCAAGAACAAGGTAGTGGTGAACCAGGACAAGACCAGCCAGCAGATCAGTGCACTGCGGGCCGAGATCGCGCGCCTGCAAATGGAGCTGATGGAGTATAAGGCGGTGAGTGCCTCCCCATCCCCACCCTGCAGTCTTCCGCAGAGCCTGCGCCCCCGAGCACTGCCCTGCCAGCCTACCTGAGTTCCTCGCCGTGCTTCTTCCCCACTCCTTTGCTTCCCAAGCATTGCTGTGTGCCAGGCACATCTGCCCTGCACTAGGGCCTCTCTGGGTGAATCTGGCACAGTGTGAGCACACTGGGCTTTAGAATAATACTGAGTCTGGGGCAGAGGTGCACCTTGGCTTTGTTACATGGATAGTGTGGCTGGGGCAGAGGTGTTTTTTATCCACTGGACAGATGAGATTGCTCCACTGTGACAGCACAGTTGACAACGGGGACAACAAGAACAGGTCATTGTGCTGCAGGGGGACAGAGGAGAGAGTTGTTCCTCTTCATGCAGGGTGACCAGAAAGGGTCTCACAGAAGAAGCCTTTTGAACAGTGAGGTAGCATTAAAAGGTGGTGGACCGAGGCAGGCATGGCAGTGCATGCCTGTAAATTTGGCTCTCTAGGGGGCCGGGGCACAAGAATCTCAAGTTTAAGCCCCACCTGGGCAACTCTGCAGCTTAGTTGCATCATTTAAAAAAGACCAGGAATTTAGTTAGCTCAGCGCAAGGCCCTGGGTTCAATCCCCAGTATCAAAAAAAAAAAGAAAAAAGAAAAAGAAAAAAAAAAAGATGGGCAAGCATTCTAGGTAGAGAACAGGCCTTACGGGAAGGAACAGAAATGACAATGAGTGCTTTGGGGAGGTGTCTAATTCTGTGTGACCAGAGCTGAGGTCACCCACTGGTGGCCTGTGGCTGGAATCTGGCACACAGATAGTTTTAGATTGGCTTGTACTTTTTTTCAAAGAATGCGACTTAGTTTTCAGCCTTTCTAAAAACATCCTGAAGGTCAGAGTTTTAGCTTTGCTGGAAAACCTTGAAGCTCTAACAAGCAGCACTAAGTTGACTGGCGTCCCAGGGTGGCTGACTTTGTGAGACCAAGTCTGCGACTCTTTATCTCTGTCTCCCCCACTCCCTGCCGTCCTCCACCCCAGCTGAATCATTTCTGTTAGCTTTCTGCCCAGGCAGGGTTTGTCCCTTGGATTGGCCTGTGTGGAGGGAGGAAAACGAGCATAGAGAGGTAGGAAGGTGAGATGGTGGGGTGACTGTACTGTCGGGGAGAATGTGAGGTTTGTGAGCGCTGAGAGATAGGAGCTGTGTATTAGGAAACGGGATTGGGAAGACTGACAGTGCTGTCACATCCCAAAGAAGCCAGCATCCTGGCAGAGCAAACAGCACAGCCCTGTGAGGCTCAGCACCTGACTGCTCCCTGCCCACCCTTTCCAGGGCAAGCGGGTGATCGGGGAGGATGGTGCTGAGGGCTATAGCGACCTGTACCGGGAGAACGCCATGCTGCAGAAGGAGAACGGGGCACTGCGGCTGCGGGTGAAGGCCATGCAGGAGGCCATCGATGCCATCAACAACCGCGTCACCCATCTCATGAGCCAGGAGGCCAACCTGCTTCTGGCCAAGGCTGGTGAGTTGGTAGGCTTTGGATCATCCATGCACTGGGACCCTCCTCTCCCCCTCCTGCCCCACCTCAATTCATTGCTGTATTTTTATGACATGAGTGTTACATGATGTATTTTTTGTGGAATGAGTAATACATGAACACATGCTTGTTAAACACGCCAGCCGTACATCAGACATAGAGTAAAGAGTTAAAATGCCCTTGCCACACTGTCTACCCACATCCTTTCTGCTTCTCAGAAGGAATCTTCATGAGCAGCTGGGTGTGTATTTTTCACACCTTTATCAGCACATTTGTTTCAAATATAAATATATTCCCACATGTATTCATCTGTGAATGTGAGTCTGTATGGTCTGTATGGCTTTTTCTGTATATGAGATCGTATATATCATGCTGTGACTTCCCCTTTCCTTTGGCATTATGTTTTATAAATCTCCCTATTAAAACCCACTTAATTTTTTAAACTACTGCATAGTGTTCCATATGTGATGATGAATAATTTATCACAACAGCCCTCTGTGGAAGGACATTTCGATTGTTTCCAGTTTCTCCCTGTTACCGGCAGAGCCCTTGGACATCTGTGCACATGTACAAGCATTTCCTTGATACAGATTCCTCTATGGAACAGGCCTGTGTGAGCTGCCCTGCTAGAGGCAGATACAAGGCCACCAAAGATCTTGCCGTTGGTTATTTTCCTTACCACGCCTTCCTCTGGCTCTCCTCTCCAGGTGATGGCAATGAGGCTATTGGCGCTCTGATCCAGAACTACATCAGGGAGATTGAGGAGCTCCGGTGAGTGAGCCCCAGCAGGTGTGAGCTGGCTGGAGGCCCTTGGCCAGTCCAGACTGGGGATGATGTCACCTCACCCCTCATCGAGGCACCCACCCCGCTCTTCCCATGCAGCACAAAGCTCCTGGAGAGCGAAGCCATGAATGAGTCCCTCCGGCGCAGCCTCTCCCGAGCCTCGGCTCGGAGCCCCTACTCCCTGGGAGCGTCTCCAGCCGGCCCAGCCTTTGGGGGCAGCCCGGTCAGCTCCATGGAGGATGCTTCTGAGGTGATCCGCAGGGCCAGGCAGGACCTGGAGCGGCTAAAGAAGAAGGAGGTCCGGCAGCGGAGGAAGAGGTGTGTGGAGTGCTGCACGTCTGAAGTGATGCTCATTGTCTCCCCGGCCCGGGTACTTCCGCCCTGTATTCAGGAGCCAACCTCGGCCCGTCCACAGGGGCTCCCCAGTTTCAACTGCGAAATCATGGAGCAAATGTACTCAGCCTTTTAGCAGAGAGACTCCCTCCCTTAATACACACCCATGTACCTTCTCCAAAGCTCTGCTGCTTTTTCCAAGGTTAATTTGGGGCGGGGTCTAGAGAGAGGCAGCTGAGTTCTCTGTAGAGCAGGAACCCAGCCCTGCCCCCATACTCCATAAGTAGCGCTCCTGCCACTCCTTTTGCCCCCCTGCCTGTGTGCTTCAGGCAGGGTCAGCCCCCCTAATCTGGCCTCTCCTTCTATCAGCAGCCCAGAGAAGGAAGCCTTCAAAAAGCGGGCAAAACTCCAACAGGAGAACAGTGAGGAGACTGATGAGAATGAGGCTGAGGAGGTGAGGACGCCCTGACCCTCCTCACCACGTGCTCACCCCCATTCCTCTGGGCAGCTTTGCAGGCGGTTGAGTGGAGGTGGCTCCCCCCAGTTGGTCCTTGAGTGTCCTGGTAGCTCAGACTGGTTGCCATGGTTATCTCCATCCCTCAGGCCCTCACTTCATCCCAGACAATGTGGAAAGGAGATCCTCCAGGGGGCTGTGCTTAGGGTACTGGGGGGCACCTGTTCTTCCCAGAGGGTGTGGCTTCCCCCCTCCTGACACCCAGGGGGTCACGTCTGCCTGGTTCCCACCTCTGGGTTCCCCTCCTCGGAGGCCAAGCCCAGCCCTCGTATCCCTGGTGCCCAGGAGGAGGAGGAGCGAGACGAGAGTGGCTGCGAGGAGGAGGAAGGGCGTGAGGACGAAGACGAGGACTCAGGCAGCGAGGAAAGCCTGGTGGACTCCGACTCTGACCCAGAGGAGAAGGGTGCGAGGGCCTGGGCTGGGTGAAAGGGGCCACCTGTGGTAGGTGCCCAGGGGTGGGCCTGCCAGTCAGAGCTCAGCCCAGAGGAAATTCAGATGCCCTTGGGTGGGGTCAGGGCCATTTGAGTTTTCAGACGTAGCAGTTGTACAGGGCCTGGATCTCCTAGGTCAAAAACCCACAAGGACAGTGATGACGGTAACAATGGCGGCACATCCTTACTGAGCACTTATGTGCGTACCTTTCGCATGGCTTGGCACTTTGAGTTCCCGCTTCTGTCCTGTGTATAGGTGCTGGGTTTCCCTTTGTCACCACTGAACATGCTCAGAGAGGTTCATGCCTCTCCCGTTTAGTCAATGCAGAGCAGGGCACTGGATACAGGCCCAGCTGATGCCAAGACCCAGCCCCTAAGTGGGTCGCCTGTCCCTTCTGCTGTGGTCCACAGCTCTGCAAAGTGCTCTCAATCATCTTGCCCTCCTCCACCCAAGCAGGGTCCCATGTCATCCGGAACAGGCAGGTGTTGGCCTCTGAGCCCAGTGGTTGGGAAGGATGTCTAGACAACCCACCCCCAAGCCCTAGCTGGGATCTGCCTTTCTTTTCAAATGTGTGCCACCTGGCACCGTTCTACCCAGCATGAGATTTCCACTTCTGGTCACTTCTGGTCACCTGCCTCTGGTCACACTGACTGATCACGGTTGGCCAGAAGAATCCTTTCTTCCCCGGGAGTGGTGCCTGCCTGAGCCTGGCTTTTCCTGGACCCTACAGAGGTGAACTTCCAGGCAGACCTGGCAGACCTGACCTGTGAGATTGAGATCAAGCAGAAGCTGATTGATGAGCTAGAGAACAGCCAGCGGCGGCTGCAGACACTCAAACACCAGTATGAGGAGAAGCTGATCCTGCTACAGAACAAGATCCGTGATACACAGCTGGAGCGCGACCGTGTGCTGCAGAACCTCAGTGAGCCCCTGACCCCGCTTTCCCCCAGTCCTCCTCTGCCAAACTACACTGGGATGCACTAGGGTCTCGTGTCACCAGAGACAGGCAGATGTCGACCTCTGGACCCAGCCGGGTGAGAAGGACATCTAGACCGCTTCCCCAGCCCCAGCCTCAGCTCCTGGGATCTGCTTGCTTTTCTGGTGCTGCTTTTCTTTTTTTTTTTCTGGTACCAGGAATCGAATTCACAACCTTGCGCTTGCCAGGCAGGTGCTGTGCCGCTGAGCTAAATCCCCAGCCCCTGGTGCTGCTTTTCAAATGCATTGCAGCATTTTTGGGGTTGTACCTGACCTTCTGAGTAGGGGACTTCAGGCCCTTCTACTGTGGCCCTTTGGCTCACAGTTAAAAGTTCTTATGTCTGACTCTAGTTCCTCTGCTACACTTTAAATTCATCTTTTTTTTAAACTATCATCTTATGTATTTGAATTCTTTAATCCTTTATACACCTTGGCATATGAACATGATACCTTCCAGCCTTTTCTTCTGCATTCAGTTCCTTGAGAACAGTTTATCTGCTTCCTCACTACATCCTGCCTCCTCACACTGCTCCCCAGCCCACACATCCGATTATTCATTTGTTCATTCCTTCATCCACTTATTCAGCAAACATTTGCTGAATGCCTCTGTGGAGAAGATGTTAATCTAGATGCTGACGACATTGGTGTGTGCAAATCTCTGCTCTCATGGGGTGTACATTGTAGAGGAGAGAGGCAGAAACTAAGGACCTCTAGTATGTCAGAGGGTAACAAGTATGATTTTTTTACAGCAAGGGTGGATAGAGTGCTGGGGACTAGGTTGAGGTTTTTTAATGGATGATTATGGAAGACTTCATAGAGAAGATGGTGACTTTTGAGCAAAAACTTGAAGGTGAGACAGTGCTAGAGAAGGCTGAGCCATAAGAAGAGCATGCTAGGCAGAGAGTGCAGGAGATGCCCAGAACCTGGCTAGGTGTGTCCCTGGCATGTTGGTGGAGTGACAAGGGCCCAGCATGGTTCAGATCATGTCAGTCACAGGAAAGACATTGCCTTACATTCTGAGGGACATGAGAAGGTGTGGAATTTTGAGAGGAGTACCTGATGTAAAATTTTAAAACATTACAGATACATCATCCTAGCTGCTGCATAGGGGATGCTGGTGATCACTTAGGAACAGTTATAAAGATCCTGGGAGAGGTGGCTTGTGATAGGAGGTGGTGAGAATGGTTGGATTCTGAGTATTTTACAGGTTGAGCTAAAAGGTTTCACTGATGCCTGGGTGGGGAAGTGAAGCGGGCAGGAGCCAAGGATGTCTCAGAGTCTGAGCTTCTGGACAGAGGTGATAATGTTACCTGAGATGAAGGGTGAGGGTGGATTCAGGAGTTGGTTTGTACCTGTTCCATCTGACACAACTGTTGGCAGGTCTAGAATAGAGAATCAGTTTATTCCTTCTGCCCCAGCTCACATCCCTCTGTCTTCTCTTGCTAACTCTTTCCCTTTCCACTGGCCCCAGCCATTTTCTCCCGCTGGATCATGAACCGAGCCAGCATGAGTGGGCTGCAGAACCTTCATGGGCAGCTGGGGACCAGGGGCTCAGAGATCTCAAGATGGAGCACCCCTCAGATTCCAATAGAATATTAGAGCGGGAAGGGGTGTGGGCATCTACTAGTTCTGTCCCCTCATTGTTCAAATGAAAAGCCACCCAGAGATGGGTGGCTTGTCCGAGCTCACACAGTGAGACTAGAACCCAGGCTGCCAGCCTCCCCCATTGCTGAGCCCACACTTAGTGGGAACACTCAAGCACGCAGTGCTGATGGCCATCCTTGCTGCCCTCAGGCACCATGGAGTGCTACACGGAGGAGAAGGCCAACAAGATCAAGGCAGATTATGAGAAGAGGCTGCGGGAGATGAACCGGGATCTGCAGAAGCTGCAGGCTGCGCAGAAGGAGCATGCCCGGCTCCTCAAGAACCAGTCGCGCTATGAGAGGGAGCTGAAGAAGCTGCAGGCAGAGGTGGCTGAGATGAAGAAGGCCAAGGTAGGGCTGAGGATGTGAGGAGCAGAAATCTTAGAATCCATTTTCTGTGTCAAAATAATCAGTGCTGTCAAAGGTGGATTTTCTTCTCAACAAGCAGCATCGCTTGGTTCAGTCCTTTCCTGGCCATGCACACTATTCTCTTGGCAGAGTGCATTCTCCATGATGCAGCATCCTTCCCCCAAGCATGGCCCAGATGCGGGATGGTCGGGAGGGGGCCCACTCTGCTCAGTGCTGCCCCCGTGGTGGGAAGCTGCACCACAGTGGTCTCTATATGCAGGAAGCAAAGGTGAGGCCTCTGGTTTGGTGCAACTCTTCTGTGAAATCATAGTGTGTTATTACTGCTGTGGCCAAGTTCTAGGCTGGTCATCTTACATGCCTGGTCACATTGAGACCTTGGGAGGACCTCTTGAAAGAAGCCTGGTTGTCTTTCCCATTTTAGGTACAGGAAAGTGAGGCTCAGAGGTCATTCTAGCTGCTAGGAGGTAGTGCTAGAATGCACACCCGGTCCTCTGCCTCCCGGTCTGCTGTGTGTTCTGCATGGCACAGTGCCTGCCTTTTCAGCTTTGCTATGGCTCAGATCATTCCCATCTCCAGGGCTCAGGGAGTGCCCTGGAGGTCCTGATTCAAGGCTCAGATCTTGTGCCTCTAGCGTCCAAGTATGTTTTAGTTTCTGTCTGGGGCTCAAAGATCTCTGCCTGGGTATTTCTGCTCTGACCATCAGCCCCTGGTGTACCCCAGCTCTCCCCAGCCCTGAACCCCTACAGAAGGTAGCACTGGCGGTAGCCCCAGCAGGCTTTGGAGGCCTGGCTTTGGGAACAAAGATGCAAGAAAGGGACCTGTGCAGTTCTTTGGGCTAATGGGATAGGGATCTGCATCCTTGGGGCCATCAACCACTGCAGCCTCACTGCTGGATCCGCTGGAGCTGACCGTGTGCTCAAGGAAGAGGTGATGCAGTGCTCAATGATGTTGACCCTTCGGGGAGGTGGACCTCCCAGCTGTCACTGGCCAGCCTCCTCCCCTGGGTAGGCTAAGCCTGGGACACAGGTCCATCAGCCTGATCAGAGTAGGGAAATTCTGCCCATTGTGCTCAGACCAGCTTGGCCTGAACTGGCCACGAGGAACCTCATTTTCACCTTCTACTTCCGTGCATCCACTGATGGATAAGATGTCACACTGAAAGGCTTCCAACACGTTTCCGCAGGTTCCCCCGGGCCCCAAGCGCCCTCTAGTGGTGCAGCGTGGGAACAGAGGGAGCTGCAGCATACTCAACCATGGCCTGTGCCTCCTGCCTCAGTCCCTGGGATAGCCTTGTGCTCTCTGGTATTTGTCCCCACTCTCTCTCCCAGGAGGTTCCTGCCTGATGCTTCTGCAGGGTGGCTCCAGCCTGTTCTGGCCAACTCCCACTTCAGCTGGCCATGACTGTGGAGAGCATCATAAAGGAACATTCTCATAGAGTTCTGAAGCCTGCAAAAGCAGTCTACTGCTCAGGATATATTTGAAAGTCAGAAGGATGCATGTGTATTATGTGTGTCTGTCTCAGGATTGCTGAGGCCCTTCAGCCTAGCCCCAGCTCCATCCACATGACTGTGCTCTTGTGAGCACAGGGCTGGAAATCAGCCTAAGGTTGTCCTAGGGGTGCCCCAGCAGGGGCCCAGGTTTTCCATTGGAGGGGCAGAGAGGGCAGCAGCCAAGGATTCTAACCAGATGCTGTGAGGGCCATTGTCTGAGGTTCTTTTCCCCAGCTGTCCAGCAAGGGGGCCCAGCGATCCACAGAACTGATCTGACTTGGGCCTGCAGCCACACACGGGGTCTCCTAGGGAAAAGGCACACTGCCTTCTACTTTAGAGCTGCAGAGCAATGCCGGTCTCAGGTTCCACTTCAGCATGGTTACATACTCACCCATCCTGAGACCGTCACCTCCCTGGTGACCTCCACAGAGCTTGGGCACACATGCAAGTTGGGCAGATGGGCCTTTACCAGAAGACGTAGATAACACCTTCCTAGGAAGCAGGTATGCTAGAGCTCACAGGCCCACTGTTAGCCAAGGGTCTCACTTGGCCTTCCCAGCCCCAGGCCTTTGGAAGAACATTCACTCTGGATCCCCAGATACTGAGCAGCAGTGAGCCTGCCTCTGCTCTGTAGAGTCCCCCTTCCCAAGCCTGCCCTCCCAGGGGCCACTAGCTCTCTTGGAGGCTGCCTGTTTGCCTCTCTGAATACTTTTTCTTTCCTGACCACAGAGCAAGGCAGGATGATGATATTCCCTGTAATGTCCCAGACCTGGGTGGCAGAGAAAGAACCAGCCTCTATTTTAACTCTCCTGCCCCCTGTGCTTGAAAAGTGTCAAAAAGGCTGCGTACTTTGGCACCAGCAATAGGAGGAAGATGCTGCAGGACCCAGGAACAGTGGCTTCTTAGCACATCCAGTCATCTCCAGCCGCACTGATGGCGCTCTGTGCGCCTTTGGCCAGACCTTGGAGAACTCCAGGATCTAGGCAATCTGTGCTTGCTGTGAACTCTCTTGGTGCCATCCCTGCCTGGGGCTGTAGGAAGAGATGGCTTGGGGAGGTAGAATGACCTGGGCCCCAAGTCTGGCCATCTATCACTAGTTTTATGACTGTAAGTAATTTTTTTCTCAGACTCATTTCCTTGTTTATTAAATAGGAACAATAAGGCCTCTCTCCTATGATTGTCAGGAGGACGGTGCTGGCATATAGCCAGTTCTCAATAAATAATGGTAGTTTTTATTGCTGTCACTGAGTCTAGCTCTGGAATCCAGCCCTGACCTTGACCTCAGCCCTGTTCACCGCTCAGGCTGTCAGGAGGAGCAAGGATGACCTGCCTCCAGCAACTCAGCTTGTCCTAGAATAGCCAGACCAGGATGGTGGCTTTAGGTGGTGCCCAAGGTTGGAACCTGTAGGGTGGGAGCCCCTGAACCACAAGGCTGGCTGTGAGGCCACTCCTGTCAGCAGGCTGCCCAGGTAGCTTCAACTTTTGCGGAGGGGGGAACCATTCCAAAGCCCTGAGCCCTGAGCCCGAGCTGCCAGGTAGGTTTCCACACCTGGCTGGCGTCCTCAGAGCCAGCTGTCCGCTGGAGCACATGGGCCACTGTTTCCCAGCCCTGCCTTACTCTGTTGCCTCTCTGTCCAGGTGGCCCTGATGAAGCAGATGCGAGAGGAGCAGCAGCGGCGGCGGCTGGTGGAGACCAAGAGGAACCGAGAGATTGCTCAGCTCAAGAAGGAGCAGCGGCGACAAGAGGTGAGGGGCCTGGAAGGATCCCTGGAGCTGCAGGCCCCAGGCGGACCCCAGTTCCAGCTGTCCTAAGTGGTCACGGTTGTGCTTGGAGTAGAGGGCAGCCTGTAGGAAGGGCAGAACGTATGTCTCAGGCCCCGCAGAGAGGCATGGCAAGGCTGAGCCCTCCAGCCCGATTCCTCACTGTGGTGGAAGATGAGGCCATGGCAGTTGCCTTTGCAGGGCCCCCACTGCAACCTCTGGCCAGGGAGCTCACTCAAATTTCATCAACAATTTGGTAGCATGAGATTTGCCCCACCCGGGAAACCCAGGCTTCTACCTGCAGAGCTGAGTAGCCTGTGCCCATCCTGCAGAAAGGGGTCAGTGCCTGAGGTGGGATGGCGCTCTCCTCTCTTTCCCACAGTTTCAGATCCGGGCCCTGGAGTCCCAGAAACGGCAGCAGGAAATTGTCCTGAGGAGGAAAACCCAGGAGGTGAGTGCTCTAGGGAGCGGGTGCGGGCCCCTGCCCAGGCAGCATGCACGGGAACATACGCACTGGTGCGTTTTCTCGTTGTGCTCCTTTAGGGGCCCCGGCTCCCTAGACATGGGGTGAGGGCAGTATGTCCTTGTTCTGCCAGAACTGGGAGGAGAGGGGAGCCCACTACCTGTGCTGTGGCTCTTCCTTCCGTCACTCAGCGAACACAGTCATGTCCAAAGTGTCAGGCCTGTGACAAGGGCCTTTCTCAGTAAGAGAGCAAGAGGGCAGACTGCAGACTGTCCCCAAATGCCTGAGCTGATCACTTAAAAAAGAGATGGCAATCTCTTTTGTGTTTAGCTCACCTCAGACAGCGACCTCTTGGCCCGTCTACACTCCAAGCTAGGGCCAGCAAGGGCGGCCTCTGTTCTCCCTGCCTGGCCCTCCCAAGCCGGCTGCAGGCCGCCCTGCCCACCTGTGCCTCTTCCTCAGGTTTCTGCACTGCGGCGCCTGGCCAAGCCCATGTCTGAGCGGGTGGCAGGGCGTTCAGGACTGAAGCCACCTCTGCAGGATTCAGGGGCTGAGGTGTCGGCCAGCACCACCTCTTCTGAGGCTGAGTCGGGGGCCCGCTCTGTCTCCAGCATTGTGCGCCAGTGGAACCGCAAAATCAACTACTTCCTGGGGGACCATCCAGCCAGCACAGTCAATGGCACCCGTCCAGCCAGGTGAGGTGGGCTGGGGGTGCCCGGGCCTGTGTGGGCAGAGGGTGTGGAAATGTGGTAGGCAGGACCAGGGTGAGGGAGAGAAGCTTGGGAAGCGCTGGGACCCCCGGGGCTGTCAGCTCTGGGTGAGGGCTCAGCACAGCTGCAGAGGCTGAGTAGTCACATCGCGCTCAATCACCTTTGCCTCTGCCTCCCAGAAAGAAGTTCCAGAAGAAAGGGGCCAGCCAGAGCTTCAGCAAGGCGGCAAGGCTCAAGTGGCAGTCCCTGGAGAGGAGGATCATTGACATCGTCATGCAGAGGATGACCATCGTCAACCTGGAGGCCGACATGGAACGGCTCATCAAGGTGGGCGCCTCCCTTTCTCTCCCTTCCTGCTTACCACCTGTCCTCTGTCACCTCTGACTTCCTCTCCTCTCCTCCTCTACCTCTCCCCTCTCCTCCTTCAGCCCCGGGGGACCTTGAGCAAACACCTGGGGTGGAAGTTGTGGGTAGGGCCACGCAGCCCCTGAAACCTCTCCTGCATCACTGTCCCGCCAGAAAAGGGAGGAGCTGTTCCTCCTGCAGGAGGCGCTGCGGAAGAAGCGTGAGCGGCTGCAGGCTGAGAGCCCAGAGGAGGAGAAGGGGCTGCAGGAGCTGGCTGAGGAGATGGAGGTGCTGGCGGCCAATATCGACTACATCAATGATAGCATCACTGACTGCCAGGCCACCATTGTGCAGCTGGAGGAGACCAAGGTGCCGGCAGGACTGGGCCTGGCCTGAACAGAGGTGGGAGCAGTGGGTGGGCATGGCAGCCCCAGGTGACAGAGCTCCCTGCCTCCCGGTCCCAGGAGGAGCTGGACTCCACAGACACGTCAGTGGTCATCAGCTCCTGCTCTCTGGCTGAAGCCCGCCTCCTGCTGGACAACTTCCTCAAGGCGTCCATCGACAAGGTGAGTGGGCAGCTCACCTGCACAGGGGCCCCAGGGCAGATGCCTCACAGAGGAGCACACAGGCCTGGCTCCTCCTCACCTGCGTCACTCACAGGCTGGGACAAGCCGCTAACCTCTGAGCTTTGGATTCTGTAGCTATAAAACTGGGGAGATGACAATACCAAGCTTGTTGCTGGCTGCATAGTTTAAACAAGATGATACATGTAAGGGTCTTGTTGTGGCACTTGGCACACAGCAGGGCCTCAATTAGAAGTGACCCTGTGTGTCTGGTACATGCCCATCCACAGCAGGGTTGGGCTTGTGTCTGTGGGGGGTGGGGCTGCATGTGTATGTCAGGGTAGAGGAGCAGGAGCCAGATGGGCCAGTCTGCCCAGGAGTGTCTATGGCAGAACATCAGATGTCCCTTGGGGTTTCTTGGGCTCTTCTCCTCTGTCTCTGGCTGGAGGATGTGCTTCTTGCCCTCCTGGGGCTGAGTCTTGGGGACAGCTGCACCTACTGACTGCCTCCTGTGACTCCTATCAGCTCTGCTCTGTGTCCCAGGGAACTGTATTAGCATGCCATAACAAAGTGCTACAAAGAGCCAATGCCACAGTGATTTCTTGTCTAGAGGTTGGCAAACCCAAGGTCGAGATGGTGGGAGGGGTGGTTTATTTGATGCCTCTCTCTGTGGCTGTGATGGTTGCTGCCCCTTCCTGTGCTGTCACACAACTTCCCTCTGTGTGCTAATCTCTCCCCATAAGGACACCAGTCCTAGCAGATTAGGGTCCAGCCCTATGATCTCATAATATGCTATTTAGCTCTTTAGAGGCCCTGTCTCCACATAACACATTCTGAAGCAACGGGGCGTTAGGACTTCCATATAAAAAGTTTGGGGGACACACATTAGTCCATGACAGGGTGTATCCTAAGGTGACCTCTACTAAAGTGGCACTAATATGGGAGCTAAAGAGAACGGGGATTCCCCCAAGGCCAGGAAGGCTAACTCCAGGCCTTGCTCCCTTCCCTCAGGGGCTGCAGGTAGCCCAGAAGGAGGCCCAGATCCGGCTACTGGAGGGGCGACTGAGGCAGACGGACATGGCGGGGTCCTCCCAGAACCACCTGCTCCTAGATGCCCTGAGGGAGAAGGCCGAGGCGCACCCTGAGCTGCAGGCACTCATCTACAATGTGCAGCAGGGTATGTGGAGGTGTGGAGAAAGGCTCATGCCTCCCAGGACTCCTTGTTGCTGACCCTAGGTGCTGGGGGTGGTCAGTTCCCCAGAATTCCTCAGGAGCCTGCCCGGTGGGCGAGATGCAGGAGGGCAGCCATTGCCCCTTTCCCACACTCCATGGGGTCTCTCCAACCTTCTTCCCTTCCTCCCTCCCTCCCTCCCAGAGAACGGCTACGCCAGCACTGACGAGGAGGTCTCAGAGTTCTCTGAGGGCAGGTGAGTCCCACCTGGGAGTGAGGCATGGGGAATCTGGGCTGCCACAAGGTCCCAGGGCTGAGCATGGACTTGGGGGCCCCTTGGGACTCACAAGTCTTAAGATCCAGAGAACCAGAAGGTAGGCTATTAGGATCCTAAATTGTGTTTCTTCCTCAGCTTCTCCCAGTCATTTACCATGAAAGGCTCCACCAGCCATGATGACTTCAAGTTCAAGGTGAGCTCCGTCCCACAGCCTGTTCCCCATCTTACTATGCTCTGACCCCAACCGCGGTCCTGCCCTGACATTGCTGAAGCTGGAATGGAGGTGCCAAAAAGGATCTGACAGGGAGCTGGGAAGGGCACCCAGATGTGTAACCTGCTACACAGCTCATTTTTCTGAGATGGAAGGAAGCCACTGTCAGCCTCTGCTTTCTAGTGACATCACCATATCCAGATGCCCACTTTCAAAGACTCTGCCTCTTGCCCTGAGTCAAAGCCTAACTCTCTCTACCTGATTAATTTTTCGGCAGATAGTTGCTTCAACTGTCTGGGAGTCAACAATAAGAAGTTTACTTGACAGCAAGGGATCAGTTACTAGACAGAACTGAGTTACTAAAAAGGGAAGGGGAAAACTGCAGACTGAGTTGCACAGTTGTGAGTTATCTGATTAGCTGGTAACCAGCGAAGAGGTCCATGTGGGCATTCTGTGTTTTGCATACTCCAACTAAAGGCAGTAAAACAAGCTAAGTTTCTGTAGATGTCAAACGAGATCAGGTGTGTTCATTGTGTTATGGCCGTAGACATTTCTCTGGGTTTCAGCACAGAAGACAGTCCCTGGTGATGTCTGCTGGATCCTTCCATGGACTCCTATTCCTTAGGCCAAGTGGCATGATTTCCCTCCTTAGGATTCCAGTGGCTCCCTAATATGAGCCATCCCCTTTGGGCAAGTTGCTCCATCCATCGTTCTGTCTTCAGGGGGAGCCCAAGCTGTCTGCCCAAATGAAGGCTGTGTCGGCTGAGTGCCTGGGACCCCCACTGGACATCTCCACCAAGAACATCACCAAGTCCCTGGCCTCCCTTGTTGAGATCAAAGAGGATGGAGTAAGCTTCTCCATCCGAGATCCCTACTACCGGGACAAGGTCTCCCGCACTGTCAGCCTGCCCACCCGGGGCAGCACTTTGTAAGGAGGCAGCAGAACTACAGGGTTGGGGGAGGGGGCAGGAAGTAGGGCCTGGCCTCACTGGACCCTTCTGTTCCAGCCCCCGGCAGTCTCGAGGCTCAGAGACATCCCCTCTGACCCGGAGGAAGTCGTATGATCGAGGGCAGCCCATCAGGTGAGAGCATGTTCCAAAATCTTCTCCAGAGTCGTGACTGGCCTAGTCCTTGGATGATAGCGTGGCTCTGAGGTTGTGCTTTGTAGTTCATTGTAATGTAAGCTTTCTAATTTGGGCTAGCTGGCCATGAGTCACTCAGCCTCACCCATGGTCCCTTCCTCACCCTGTCAGGGGTAGGCTCAGGGAAGACGATGTTCATTAGGCCCCTGGAACCGGGTAGCCAGGTCACATGCCAAAAACTATGTGCTAATGTGCATTCAGTGTGGGCTGCTTGTAGTAGCTTCATTGGCCATTGTTCTGATATGCTTCAGCCTCTTTTCATGACCATGGGTCCTTGGCAGCCTCCACTCCCTTTAAGGTCTCCTGTTTTGAAAGGAGTAGAGAAACTCAAAGAACCGGAGAGGTCAGTGCAGAGCATCAAAGTCTCCAGGGATCAGGCACACATGAACCAGGCCCCGCAGAGCCTCTGCACATGGCAAGGTGACCGTGAGGGTCCTCTGGTCATGCACTTAATTTTCAGGGGTTTGGTCGCTCCCTCAGGTCACACAGCTAAACTAAGAAAGCAGAGCTCAGTTTGACCTCTTACTGTCTGCCCTGGTAGGAGGCAGGGGGAGGATCTGCTCCAGCTCCCAGCCTTCCTTCCTCTCAGAACCTGGACAGACACCCATGACACTGGCTTGCAGAATTGTTTTCATGGGGAGGAGCTGAAAGGATGTCTGTATACCTGGTGTTTCGGACTGCTGCTTCACCTGTGAACTGAGAGAACATACTTAAGTTGTGGCCGCAAGATTTGGGTCAAACCTGTGATGGTGCTCCAGAAGGAGAGAGGATTTGGCTGAATCTAATGACAGCTTTTCAGAGAACAGGATCTGAGAGTGTTTGTTTATTTATTTGCTTATTTGTGATACTGTTGATTGAACTAAGAACCTTAGCACTGAGCCGCATCCTCCACCCATTTTTAATTTTTAGTTTAAAACAAAGTCTCACAGCATTGTCCAGGCAAGGCTCAAACTTGCAGTCTTCCTGTCCTAGCCTTCCAGAGTGCTGGATTTACAAAGCTGTGCTACCAGCAAATTTTATTTATTCATTTACTTACTAACTGACTGACTTAAATGGCCCTGGGGATCAAACCCAGGGCGTTGTGCAAGCTAGACAGTGCTATACTACTGGGCTACATCACCAGCTGGGGCAGCACTTCTGCACTGTGTTTGAGGACCATTTTAAAACTCAAAACCACCATGAGAAAGCACAAAAATATAATAAAATCTGGCACTAAACTGTCCATGAACAGGGTACTTGTTTCTAGTATCAGAGCTGAAATGACCTTGCAAGAAACATGTATAGAGTAACTGAAATTTTTCTACATAAGTCCAAGAATAATACAAAAAAAGCACCAGGAAGTATTGGTGTGGGAATTTCAATGAGTAGATAAATTCCCAAGTATACATTACACGAATGTGAGGATGGACTTTTAGAAGGGCATCTAGCAGCTGGACTGGCAACTGTGCTCTGCGATGGCTGTGCAGCCGGCCTGGCCTCGAGGGCTTCATGGCCAAGACAGAAAGCGTCAGGACAGCCCGAGTGTGGGTCTGTGGGCAGACATGTAGTCACTAACAGACAGTGTTTTCTGTCCCCACTCACCAGGTCCACAGACGTGGGATTCACACCTCCCTCATCCCCTCCCACTCGGCCTCGCAATGACCGCAATGTCTTCTCTCGCCTTACCAGTAATCAGAGCCAGGGGTCAGCGCTGGACAAGTGAGAGCATGGCTGGGGGTGGCCACGGAGGGCCCCAAGGAGGGAAGGGAGCTAGTGGGCCAGGCCGTGTCGAGCCAAGTGGGAGTAGCTGGCAGCCCCCAGCCCTGTTGAGTCATGAGGTCCTGGCACTCCTTGCTGTCTGTCCTGACTGTGGGCCTTCCCTTCCTCTAAGCATGCTGGGACCTCAGGAGAAGGCAGGAAGGAAGCCACCAAGATGGGGGAGGGCCAACTAGAAGGTGATGGCTGTGTGGGGTGGACACACTGGAAGGTTCCCCAGAGCTGCCCCTGTCCTCTGCCCCCACTGACTCTTTGCTTCTATCTGAAGCTCCTTCCTTCCCTCTATCCAACCACAAACACTTCAAACAATGCCCCGGGTTCCTTGTGCATTGTCCAGCAGACAGAGCCAGTCTAACCTGTACCTAAAGCTCCTGTTACTAAACTGTAATTGCTCATTGTAATGTCTGTTAACAGCAATTCCAGCACTCAAGAGGCACCTTCACCTTGTTATACCACCTGCTCCCCCATTCATGATTCATTTGAACTGTAAATCAGCCTGGAACACTGTCTTCCCTGTCTCACACAATGGGAATGAGGCCCACAGAGGAGGCCCAAGGGTTTTCACCTAGAAAGCAGCTGAGTAGAGCCTAGAAAGAATCCTCCTACTTTCCCCATGTCTCGAACAATGGGACTCTGCCTGGGGGAAAGGGAAGGACCCCGTCCTCTCTGTGTTCCTTTCTGTGCTCCCCTAAACAGCAGGACCAACCCTGGCCCTCCGTAGCTTACTAAAAACTCACCTACTGCAAGGGACACAATGCTATGTCCTTGAAAAGTGCTTGTCCAATACCTGGTGTCCTTCAGCCTGCCCACCTCCTCACAGAAAGGCCCCTTCCTGAATGCTGAGCCTGGGGGTCAGACCCAGTACCCTGGATACCCTCTTTCTCTAAACCCACCCTAGCTCTGGCTTTGGCTGGAGCTGTGGACAGAGACTAGGCCTCCGTCGGGTGTGCTTCTCCCTGCACCATTACAGCTGCCAGGGATGCTCCCTTTTTTGTGAGGATTTGAATTCCAGACTGGTGATCTCCTTGATCCTATCCAGTGGCCTACATCTCAGGACCCATGTGTGATACAAAGCTCGCTTCTCAGCATGGTCCCAGTGGGCTCCTTTGCGGACAGTGGGCTTTGTAAAAAGGTGGGCCCTGAGGAAATCTTGGAAGAAGCCAGCTCCTAGGGAAGGGTACAAGCAGCCATGGCCTCCCTCTGCCCTGGGCAGATACGGGCATTGCTGGGGCAGGGCAGCCAGAGAGGTTGGAACCAATGGGGAGCCCCAGAACCATGTCCCCGAGTGTAGGTCTGGCCTCCCCCATCTCCTGTGACCCTCCTTGTTCCCCACCTGCTAGTGAGGGACCCCAGTGGCTCACTCCTGGGAAAGTGTCCCCACTCCCAGGCCAGCCCACCCCCACCTCCTTTGCTGCTCCCCCTGAAGGCCCTCCTCCCTCTGCCTCTCTCCGCTCAGCTCCTCAGTGAGAATAACCGCCCTCTGACCTTCCTGCCACTGCTGCTGCCCTGCCACCTCCGCCACCCCTGTGTGTTTTCCTCTCTCCCCTAATCCAGCTAATTTTCTGCCCTCCCCAGGTCTGATGACAGCGACTCCTCTTTGTCGGAGGTCCTGAGGTACACACAGAATGTCTCTCATGTTTGGTCTTCTTCTCTCTCTTCTCTCTTTCTCTGCCTCCCGCTGCACCGGCCCTCCCCGCTTGTACACCTGTCCTCAGCATGCGGCCCGCCCTCTCCCAGCACCCTGCCTCCCTCTGTCCCATGCCCGTCCTGACACTTCTTCCCGCCCATGGTTCCTCCCGCTCAAGGGGGCCACTTGGCCTCTGACTGCACCAGGACTGGCTGGAGTTGGGGGCTTGGGGTGGGGACAAAGTTGCTTGTGGCTGGCCCTATGCTCTTCTCCCCCGCTGGCCTGGGCAGGGAGGAGCAGAGCGTGGAAGCCTGGGGTGGCCGGGGCCAGAGCTGAGCTATGTTGAGTGTCCCAGGGCAGTAGAGTCACTGGATGCCCCAGGCACCAGCTGGGCTCCTGTTCATTTGAGAAATGTTGGGTGGTTTGGTGACTGCTCAGGGTCCTTGTGACTTAGCTTGTGTCAGTGGAGTGAGCCTTTCAGATGTTGGCCCTGAGAGGGCCACCCAGAGTGGCAGCACCTCTTGCCCACATGTCTTGGTGCAGGGCTGTGCAGGCATCCCCTCCCCGCTCAGCCTGGGGGACAAGGAGAGCCCAGTCCCCACAGCCAGCCTAGTACAATACTCCACAACAGAGGACCAGCCCAGGACCCGTGGGGCCAAGCTCCTGAGCAGGATGGCTGTCCGTGGGGTGTGCACCGCCAGCCCTCCCGCAGCTCTCTGTGAGCTGCTCCAGCCCAGGGATGGTGTTCATCAGTCCTCCTGTGCTTTGCCACCATGTGCCAGCCTTGCTCGTCCAAGCGAGCCGTTTCTCTTGCACACATCCTCGCAGCAGTCTCAGGCTGAGGGCCCTGTGGGGAGCAGGGCTGGCTTGGGGAGCTGTCGGTGCATGTACCTGGCTGCCAGCAGGTTCCCTGGGCAAGTCCATAGGGCCTTTGTGAAAGTGCTGCCGGGGGACTCTGGTCACTTCTAACCCTTCAGCCATAGTGTCACTGTCAGGAACAGTATTGTTTTTGAAAAAAGAATTTCAGACGTAATTCAGACAGGCTCTCATTGCAAAAGACCCTCGCTGAGGAGAAAAAAATCCTCAGAACCTCCAGGAAACAGCTGTTGAAAAGTGCATGCCCTTACCTGGCTTGTCCCCATTTCCTCTCTCAGAGTCGTGGGGAACAAGGAGGTGCCATTCCAGGTCCACAGGGCCTCATTCCAGAGAGGCCTCCGACCTCCTAACCCCAGGCTGAGCTGGGGCCCTAAAGGGGTTTGTCCCTTCGTAAATGGCAGGCATGGTTTGACCGCGCTGGTCCAGCAGGAGCCTGTGGGAGGGGTGTGCACGTGCGCATGCGTGTGCTCGTGGGTCTTGCCTTTGGGAGCCGTAGGCCCCAGACGCAGGCCTATAGAAATAGAGGGATGGTGGTCCAGCTGTCTGTGAGGGTGACGGCCTGAGTGTCTCTGCTCCCACCCCTCATACTTGCTGATAGAAGCAGCGTGAAGATTTTGATGGGCGCTGCAGGGGCTTACTCCAGCCCTTCGGCCTGTGCCTTGCAGGCAGAGGTCCAGGTGCATTTGTCTCAGGTTTCTGGGTCAGGTGGCATCAGATGGGACCTCTTCATGTGCACGGCCATGCCTGCTTCTCCTTCTGTGCCTTGCATGGAGCTTATTCCCCATAAGTGTTTAAGGTAGTGACTGCAGATTTCTATAAATACAGGCCCTTAGCCAGACGTTGGCACACACCTCTAATCCCAGTACTCTGGGAGGCTGAGGCAAGAGAATCTTTAAAATTCAAGCGCAGCCTGAGCAACTTAAGTGACTTAGTGAAACTTTGTCTCACTATAAAAACGGGGATGGGGATATAGCTCAGTGTAAAGGCCCTGGGTTTTATCACCAGTACAACAATAAAAAAAAGAGAGGCTGTCCTCACCCAGCACAGAATTTCCCACTCTTAGGCCTCAGTGGACTTCTGCCAGAGGTCCTGGAGTCTCCATCATGAGGCCCTCATCCCGTTTTGCCCTGACCCATTCCCATGCTCCTTGATAAGCCTGGCTGTAGCATCCCTGGCTGACAGGTGTACTCTCTCCCTCTCTCCTGGGAAGGGGCATCATTACCCCGGTCGGAGGAGCAAAGGGTGCTCGAACAGCCCCGCTGCAGTGCGTCTCCATGGCCGAGGGCCACACCAAGCCCATCCTCTGCCTGGATGCCACAGACGAGTTGCTTTTCACAGGGTCCAAAGGTACGTGGTGCCCTAAAAGGCCAGGTAGGTGTAGGCTCTCCCACCCACCCCGACTTCCCTTGTCAGAGTAGGCTGTTACAGAGACTGAGCACAGAGCCGCAGGAGGCATAGCTCAAGGGGTCAACTTGCTCCGCCCTTACCTCCTAACTAGCTCAGGACTCCTGCCATACACAGCCCTGCCCGCCTTCCTCAGACCTGACTGGCTGGCTCCACTCAGCACTTCCTTCCAGACCTCCCTAAAAACTTCTCAGGGGCCCACCCTGCCTTTGCTCATGTCAGTCCCCACCACCACTGCCCCGATGACCTTACCCAGCACCTTTAGACAAGCAGATTGACAGCACAATCCCCACAGTCCCCTACTGTCACAGCAGTGCAGGCAGAAATGTGACCAGCAGAATCCCAACACTGAGGGAGGCCGATGCGGGAGGATTGTAAGTTCAAATTCTGATCAGTTTAGCAAGACTGTGTCTCAAAATTTTAAAAATGTGTAGGGGGTGCTGGGAATGTAGCTCAGTATCCCTCCTCCTCCCCTCTGCAAAAAAAGAAGAAAAAGAAGAAATAGAAATTTGACTGCCAGAAAAGAACAAGTCTATAGTAGACACAGGTAATAGAAGCATAAGCATTTGTATATCTCAGAAGGAGAGGTAGCTGTCAATCAAGTTGTGATTGATTGATCCCAAGGTTTCCCATAAGATCTGCTTGCTCATTAGTATTAGCATTTGTAGGAACAAACACCAAAAGCTGAGGAATTTTATTAGCGCAGGTCACCTTGACAGTGCTCACATAACTCATCCTGATTTAGTACTCTCACCAGCTTACTATTTTCTGCGAGTTTGTTACGAGTACTTCTGTTTGTGGTTTTCTCTTCCTTCGATGGGAGCATCCACCTCTAGATGTCTGTCACTCCCTGCTCATCCTGGCAGCCCTGTAGGGTATACTGCCTGTCCCCACAGGCTGACATCCCTCCCCTCCTCATCTCCCACAGACCGCAGCTGCAAGATGTGGAACTTGGTCACTGGGCAGGAGATCGCAGCTCTCAAAGGCCACCCCAACAACGTGGTCTCCATCAAGTACTGCAGCCACTCAGGGCTTGTGTTCTCTGTGTCCACCTCCTACATCAAGGTGTGGGACATTCGGGACTCAGCCAAGTGCATTCGGACACTCACGTAAGTGTCCACTCCCTCGGCCTGTCCCACTGGTGGGCTGTAACAGGCTGCTTTGGGGCAACACTGCCCAGCCCAAGTGATCCTCTACAGCCTGGCCATGGGTTTGAGAGCCCTTGATTGAGGACAGGATTTGGGGCAGCAGACTGTTGAAGCTGGGGCCTACCTGACCCCCACCTCTGTCCCAGCCCCTCAAGTCCTGTTCTAGGATCCCAAAAGAGGTGCTGGGAAGCAGGGTGAGAGAGACCCCCTGGAAAAGTCATGTTTTGTCTTTACATGGGCTTGGTAAGCCACAGTCTGATATTTAATTTGATCCTTCAGAAGTAGATACAGGAGTTTTTAGTGCAGTATTTTATGCTGTATGATATTATAATGGCAGATGCTATCATTGTACATTGTCTGAACTCGCAGAATGTACAGCACCAAGAGTGAGCCCCGTTGTAAATCATGGACCTGAGTGCAAAGTGTGTCCACATCCGTTTGTCAGTTGGGACACAGGCACCACTGTGGTGTGTGGTGCTGATATCAGGTGAAGCTGTGTGTGTTGGGGGAGGAGGTACACAGAAAATGCCTGCACCTGCCGCTCGGTCTTTCTATAAAGCTAGAACTGCTCTTAGGAAAAAGACATCTTAGGAAAAGAGGAAACAATGGGTATTACTACTCTTCTCATAGAGGAGAGAGCTTAAGTGATTTCACAAGATTCAGGCTCCTGCCCTGATTGTACAGCCTTTCCACACCTGCGCAGTCACCCCCGCAGGACACATGGGATGCTTCTCACTGGGAGTGGAGAAGCAGCTTCCTTTTGGTTCCTTGACCCTCTGTCAGTCGGGGAAGGCTTCCTAGGAAAAGTGGGTCACTTGGGCTGGCCTGACTGCAGTTTGATGGATTTGCTGATCCACAGGGAGGAAAGGTTTTGACCTCTGGCTTCTCTCTTCCCCTGGGCAGGTCCTCGGGTCAGGTGATCTCAGGCGATGCCTGTGCTGCCACCTCTACACGTGCCATCACCAGTGCCCAGGGGGAGCACCAGATCAACCAGATGGCTCTCAGCCCTTCGGGCACCATGTTGTATGTTGCCGCAGGCAATGCCGTGCGCATCTGGGAGCTCAGCAGGTCAGTGCTGGGTCCAGAGATCCTGGAACTCAGAGTGGGACGACAAACCCCAGGGTGGGCGGGACCTCAGCTGCCTTCTGTCCTCCATGCTGCTGAACTGCCAGCTCTGAGACCTCTGGGGTTCCTGGAAGCTTAGGTCTAGGTTCTTGATCTTGCCTTGGGGGTGGGGGATACTCTGGTCAGCCCTGTTTGTTCCAGGACAGGTACCCCCTTCACCCAGGGTCCCCTACAACCTACCACTCCTGGTGGGCCTTCACCCCACTGCAGGTTCCAGCCCATTGGCAAGCTCACTGGTCACATTGGCCCCGTGATGTGCCTGACGGTCACCCAGACTGCCAACCAGCATGATCTTGTGGTGACTGGCTCCAAGGACCACTATGTTAAGGTACCTGGGGCCTCTCAGCTCCAAGGCCTGGCCGGGGGTTGTTTCTTCTACTCTCTTCCATCTTTATCTTCTGTTGCATTGGGAAGACTCATGGAAATAACAGGATTTCTGGGGATTTTTGCTGAAGAAAGCACGAAAGAAGGCAGGAAGGTACATGCAGAGAGCTACAGAATGCAGCTTTGTCCAAAAATGATAAATAGGTAGCTGGACCTAGTGTCATACACCTGTAATCCCAGCACTTCTGGAAAGCTGAGGCAGGAGAATCACAAATTTGAGCCTAGCATGGGCGATTTAGTGTATTAGTAAGGCTCTGTCTCAAAATACAGAATAAAGAACTGAGGGTTTAGGTCAGCATGAAGGCCCTGGGTTCAATCCCCAGTACCACCAGAAAAAAAAAAAAAAAAAAAGAAAGAAAGAAACAAAGCAGATAAATGGGAGTGGGGCAAAGTATACAAACAGCACCAATTTGGGTGCTGCCTGGCCGCACAGGCGGAAACTGCGTGTGATTAGGAACTTGAAGGGAGCTGCACAAGGGACCTGGGTGTAGGAAGATGGTGAATATTTGTACAGCAGTGCCAAGACCTGGCTCCTGCCCCTCCCCCACCCCTCCCACAGATGTTCCAGCTGGGCGAGTGTGTGACAGGCACCATTGGCCCGACCCACAACTTTGAGCCCCCGCACTATGATGGCATCGAGTGCCTGGCCATCCAGGGAGACATCCTGTTCAGTGGCTCCAGGGACAACGGCATCAAAAAGTGGGACCTGGAGCAGCAGGAGCTCATCCAGGTAAGGTAGAGGGAAGAGGGGGAGGGAAGGGAAGGGAAGGGAAGGGAAGGGAAGGGAAGGGTATGGTGGGCCAGGACAGAGCCCCAGGCAAGTGGATTCTAGAGCTCCCCAAGCATGCTTGTCCCTGCCCCCTACCCCCTGCAGCCTCCCCTGCTTCTGCAGGTCACCTTAGGCACCTGCTCTCAGCAAAGGCTTTGCTCTTAGCCCTTGGGTTTAAAAGTAAAGCCCACAAGTGTCCTTTCCCAAGAGCAGTTCCATTGTCCTAAGCCATTTGACAGCTGAAGGCTTCTTCACCATAGCAGACTCTTAGCTTTGAACGTAGGGACCAGGACAGAAGGCCTTATCTCTGGAGCCCTGACGCCCCTGGCCCAGGTTTGCACAGACTGCCTTTGGCTCATGAGGGAGGCCTGTTTTGTCCCTGGAAAGGCCAGGGGAGCCCAGTAACACCCACCACCACCAGCAAGCGTGTGCTCCTGGGGCCCCAGGACTGGTCCCTCCCTCCTCTTCATATCTACCAGCCCTTACCAGCCCCTATCCTCCCCACTGCAGCAAATCCCCAATGCACACAAGGACTGGGTGTGTGCCCTGGCCTTTGTCCCAGGCCGCCCCATGTTGTTGAGCGCCTGCCGCGCGGGTGTCATCAAGGTCTGGAATGTGGACAACTTCACACCCATTGGAGAGATCAAGGGCCACGACAGCCCCATCAACGCCATTTGCACCAACTCCAAGCACATCTTCACAGCCTCCAGGTGGGTGCTGCGTGGAGGAGCTGCCTCTGCTCCAGCCCTTTCCCTTGGGTGGGCAGGACATCTGGGAGGCTCAGGAAGCGACCCACGGTGCCCTCCTTTCTGTGCCTGGCTAGTGTGCCGGGCACTGAGGCAGACGGGAGCAGGGAGCTGCTGGGCCCCAGGCCAGGACTTGCCCACTGTCTCCACGCTATCCTGCCCCCACCCTGTCCAGGTGGCTCTCAGATCACAGAGCAGCCCTGTCTCCCTCAGACCACAGCTCCTGAGCCCCATATCTGGTCCCCTGTGCAGGCAGTGCCCAGGCCCCCAGTCCCAGGGGTGCCACTCAGACGGTCTCTTCTTTTTCCTTCTTGTTCCGACCATGTCCTTCCTCTCCCTCGCCCCGTCCCGTCGTCATCCTCTCCTCTGTGCCTCGCCTCTCTCCCCACACAGTGACTGCCGGGTAAAGTTGTGGAATTACGTCCCTGGACTCACCCCCTGCCTTCCTCGCCGGGTCCTGGCCATAAAGGGCCGCGCCACCACCCTGCCCTGACCCTCCCCGTCTTTCCCGTCTCCTCTCTCGCTCTTTCCCTCTTTCCTTTTCCCTGTCTTTCCCCACTTCGATCTGAGCTGCTTCCTGACGGTATGAGATTATTTTACTCTTTCTTCCTCTTCTCCCTTCACACCCTGCCTGGCCCAGAGAGATTGCCCTACCCACCCCTCTGCCAAGCATGGACAGTGGGCCATGGCCCAGGGCAGGGTACCAGTGGCAGGAAGCAGAGGGAGGGGAGCATTCAGGCCTGGACAAAATAAAAACAGCAGCAGGAAAACCCAGGAGAAGAACCCCACTGGGCACCCCTGCCCGGCACGTGTCTACCCTAAGCAGCGCCTGCCTCTCTGCCCCTGCCACAGGTGGGAAGGGGGGGACGCAGCCCAACTGTGACTTTTAGGGCAGCCAGCTGGGCCCACTTTGAGAGCTGACCAGCTCCCTCTGTGTCCTCCCTGCCAGCGACCTGACGGTGAAGTTTTGGAGCGTGCGTCGGTTACCGGAGGCCCACCCTCGGAGTTAGGTCAGAGGGGCGCCTGGACCCTCCGCCCCAGCAGCCTGCACAGCGTGGAACGGAAGCTGTGGCCAACCAGATGGGAGCTGCGCAGGGGGCAGAGGGTGTGGCCCCTCTCCTGCTCCGCCTCCTCTCCCTTGGACTTCCCACAGTATAGGCTCCCTGTCCCTCCCCTGCCTCGGGAGCCTCTCGGTGAGAGAGAGGTTGGGGAGGAGTTAAGCTGTGAAGCCAAAGGCATTATCCCCCCTCTCTCTCCCCCAGCCACTCCCTGGCCTCCCCTCAGCCGGCCAGGCCATGGTGTTTCCTGCTGAGCGGGCCCTGCCCTGTCTTCCCCACTGTTGTCCCAGGGTGGAGCCCTGTAGGAAGGTAAAGTAGCCCCAGCTCCATGGTGCCCTCTGATGAGCTGGCCTCCCTGTGTCTCACAGCCCAACTTCTGGAGCCACTGTACCTGCCTCTGACGCAACAAGATAGTCCTCAGGTAACCGTGGAGACCAGGTATAGGCAGCTGGGCTTGCAGCTGACCCCGAACCCTGTGTCCAGCTGATTCCAGTAGGCCCCAGCCTTCCCTTGGCAGCCCTTCCCAATAGGGCCCTGGAGGAGCTACTGGAAATACCCCTTTGGAGAGATGGTCAGGAATTCAGTTATTTATTGTTTATTTTTTTCCTGTTGCCTCCTGGAAACTGACTTGAAGTTTCTTCCCATACCTTCTGTCCCTCAGCTCTTAGGGGGTCTGCTCCCATGGCGCTCGGGGGCCGCCACCTCTGTTGGCTTTGCTCTGTAGAGGAGGGAAATACCTGCTTCCACACTTCGCAGCTCCAGCCTAGCCCCGACTGTGCCCCTGGGGACCCTTCTAGTGCACCCCTGGCAACTAGGCTGCCTGATGCTTCAGTGCCTTCCTCGCCCAGGCCTGGCCCGCTGCTGGGCAGCCTTACACCAGCCATGCCCTTGGTGCCACCTGTGTCTGCTCACAGGTCTCATGCCCTCTGCCCCTGGAAAGGGGGCGCGCTCCTCACAGCCCAGGACCAGGGAGCCCCACCCTGCAGAGTCTTATGTGGTCATGTAGGCAGCAGCTTAGTAGACTATCTGGTAGGAAGCAGCTTGGGTCGCCATGTTTTCATCATCATTTGGGACAGGGAGTCTCTTCAGCTTTTTTCCTGTAGTTATTCAGGAGATACATTTTCAAGCCTTAAACCCAGCATAGTGCATGGCCCTTCCTTTTAGGAGATTCATGGTGAGAAGGCAGTTGGTAGTTCTTGGAGCCTCCTTTTCCCCTGGGGCTGTGGCCTCACAACTCGAAGGCTGGGGCTAAATCAGTGTTCCAGTGCCCCCTGTTGGAACAACTCTGGATTTACAGGGATGGGTCTTGGGTGGGGTCAGCTCCATCCTTCATCCCAGGCTTTCCCCCAAGCGTGTCCACGCTGTTTTTCCACACTGGTCTTGTGCTTCTCGGCCTCAGTCTAGGAGCCTGGAGTCCCCATTCTTTCTAGAGGACACGTTGACTTTCGAACTTGCCTGCAGTGGCGTTGCCTCTGCACTCAGCTCGTTTTTGTGCGTCCAAGGCCATTGGAGCCTCCCCCGGTGTGGGAGGGTCGGGGCCCCAGTGAAGGCTGTGTGGGGCTGTTCCCTCCTCGGCACCACCCCAGAGGCTGAAGAGGTCGTCCTGCTTGTGTGCGGCCCCTGCCAGATGTGACGTTAGGTCTGGTGAGCCAATGTCGGGATGACCTGACTCGAATGCTGGTCTTCTGGAACCGGAATGGTCTGTCTGCTCTGACTGCAAATCCTTCTTCCCCTGGCTGCCCCAGGGTTGCTGGGCAACTCCCTTCGAACTCAGAAGTGACCACCAGTCTCCTTTCCTGCCCCATCCAGCCTTCCCCACCTGAACGGAAAGCTTTGACATTGCACCCTGTAAGAATGACCCTGTCTGCATGACTGTTTACAAACTACGGAAACACACAAGACTTGTGTCCCCTGCCCTTCCCTGTGGGCTGGGGGTACCCCAACCTGAGGTGACTGTACTGTAGCTTCAAGGCCTGTTCTTGCACAAGATGTGGTCTTATGGCCTCCAGAGGTGCTCCTTGTTGCCCGCTGTCCGCCGTCTCTGATGGGTCACTACCTCACCGCAGGGCTGGCCCCCCTGTCCCGGCAAGTATCATTGACTCTAAACTTGAAGTCCTTCTGGATCCCTGAGCCTGTCATCCCTGAGCTGCTCTGAGCTGTGCTGCACAAGCCCTGGGGTCTCTGCCCACACCTTCGGGAACATCCAAGGTACACAGATGGGGCAGGCCCCCAGCTCCACCTCTCGCACAAGCATCCTTTGTTGGAAGCACAAACCAGTTGTGATCTGAGCACAGTGGCAGGGCAGCTCTCAGCAGGCGATGTGGCCAAACCGGGAGGCAGGAGGCTCCTTGAAGGTTGGCCAGGAACCCCAGTTAGACAGTGATGCCATATATTGGGGAAGGCAGCCGCCCTTGCTGAGAACAAGGCTGGGCCTAATTCTGGGGCTTTTTATGTTATGTTGTGTCCCCATCCTGAGACTTGAGACCCAGGTCATGTCTGTATGCCATGGGCCCCGGGAGCAGAGCGCACCCTAGCCCAAACTCCCCCGCCTGAATACAGGCTGTGCTAGCCCCACTGAGCCTGAAGAGTGTGGACTCAAGACTGTCTCCTGAGCCAGGTCCCTGTTTTTGAAGCTGACTGGCTTCCACGGCCCTTCGGCTTCTCAGCACAGCCCTACACCAAGGCCTCACTCTCAGTATTAGCCAGTTCAGTGTTTGCTTTCAATCCAGCCACTTGATTCCTCGAGGGCAGCCAGAATCCCCTGAGGCCACACCTGAGCCACCTTTGGAGATTGCTGCGGAGGGAGGGGAGGGGAAGAGGCCAAGGCCACACAGCCAAGCCTTGCAGTAGTCAGGGTGCTGCCACTAAGCGCTTGGGAAAGAACAGCCTTGGATATGGGAATGGCCTCCTGCCGGCCCAGCTGAGGCCTTGGAAACTCTCCTTCCCCTCCCTTGTCTAGCCCTGATGCCTGCCAGGGGCTGTGTGGCTTGGCCACAGGGTAGCTTAAAGCACAAAACCACTTCGATGAAGATACTGAGTCGCCAGGACTTTTGCACACTGCCTAACATGGTGGAGACAGGCAGGCGGCTGCTGTGAAGTCAAGGGACATAATGTCCCTTTGCCCAGTCTTCTCCCATCTCTTGGGGGCCACCCCCACTGGAATCTGGGCTGGGCACAGGCACACCCCCTGGTTGTTCAGACCCTGCCCGGGCCTGGTGTGTTTGTGGGCAGGGCCTGCCCAGCAGGAGCAGTGAATGGCTTTCCCCTGTGAAGCCCAAACTTGTGGCACTGTCCCTTTGGCATCTCAAACAGGAAACTGCTCACTGCTTTCTTTGCTGGGCACAGCCTCCTCCTGGTCAATGGCCAGTGTCCCCCACAGGCCTTCCTGGGCCTGGCCTTCCCTTCCTGGCTCCCAGCTCTTCACGCCCTGTGGAGCAGAATCTGCAGGGAAAGTTGTTTCTCTTTGGCATCTGTGTTCTGTCCCCCATGCCCGCCCTCCTCTACCTCTAGCCCTCAGATGACCCCCGAGCCCTACCACACCCCAGTTTAGTACTTCCAATGTGTGTCCCAAGGCCCTCACCAAGAAGTAGGGAGTAGAAACTGCTTGATGAAGAACAGATGGTCAGAGAAGACCCTTGAAGGGATGGGGCCCTGCCTGCCCACCAGCTCTTTTCTAGCCATCGCCCCCTGCCCAGGCTCGTGTGCCCCTCTGAGATGTGGCTAGCACAAGGTGTATATAAGTTTTGTACCTCTGCTGATGACTGTACATAGTGTATGAAAGTTATTTAAGCCTCTTGCTGTACATTTCTGTTCCTAGATTGAATGTGTGTGTTCTAAGAAGTTGTCATAAATAAAATCTGAATGACTGTTGTCTGTGGAAGGACTGCCCCTGAGAGCTGCTGAACTTTGGCTGGTGGCCCTTTTCAGAGTGGGAAATTGGTACTGGTGTTGGTGGGTGAATGACGCTGGCCTCTGGGACTGGGTCCAGCTTAAGAGAACTTCCTGGGCTCTGAGTCTGAGGCTTCCTCAGCCAGAAAGCAGAACTTTGAGTGTCCATTTCCCCTCCAGACTTCACATGTTGCCTTCAGGGACCAGAGCCCGTGTAGCTGCTGAGCGAGTAGGCACTAGCATTTATTGAGCACCTATTTATCTCAGGCACTGATCAGGGCAGTTTCCATTGGATCTTCCCAAGCCTGTGGACAGGTGACATCCTCATTTTATGCAGTGAGAAATGTCTCAGAATGGAAGTAAATTAATTGTCCAGGCTCACAGCTAGAAAGGACAGAGCCCGGATTTGAACCCACCCTGCCCAACTGCAGCCTCATTTCCTTGCACTAACTTAGCATGTGCCTTCCGCAGGACCTGGGATTCACTGTGTGCCACACATTTCGTTCCCTCGCTGCTTACGGAGTGAAGACAGAAATATAAAGAAGTCCTTTCAGAAAGTATCTCTGGTATCTCTGTAGTGGTTGTGATTTTCACTTAAACTTTTAAAAGCTATACCCACCCCCACATCCCTTGTTTTTCTTTTCTGATGCCAGGAATTGAGCCTTGCCCATGCTGTCATACCACTGAGCCCCAACTGTGTTCCCTCTGGATACCCTCATCTCAGGATGAGGCTCGGGGAGAAGCTGCATCATCACCATGGGCCCAGACACTCTGAGCCCTTTGCTTCCTACTGTGTTCTATTTTGTTTCCCAAATGCAAAACAAGTTACTCTCTCAGCTTACAGAAGTCCCTTAGCACTCAGGAGCTTACGCAGACCCATAGCTGCAACACAGTCCAGCTAGCAGGTCCTCAGTTTGTGGCAAACGGTCATCGTGTGTGTGTGTGTGTATGGTGGGGAGGCGTCCCAGGGAAGAATCCCCAAGAGGCTTCCAGTCCTCAAGTAAGAGAGGACCCTGAGCCACAGTGAGCAGTTTCCCTAAGTCCCCAGCCCCTCCTGCTCTGGCCTCAGGAGGATGGTGGTTTTTGGCTGGCCCACTGAGCCCCAGCCTTGCTTCCCACAGGCCATATTTCCATGGAATCCTGCCCTCCAGTCCAGGGCCCATTGTGCACTGCTGGAGGTAACAGCTGGGCATGGCCAGCTGCAGCCAGGCTGGGTGTAGGAGTGAAATCTGGGGACCAGGCTCCAGTGACCTTGTCAGAGGCCTTCCAAGGCCAGCTCCTCCCTGCCCTCTACCCCTCCCTCACTCCTTCCCCCAAGGGCTTGCAGCCAAAGTTCCGCATTCCCTGTGTTTTGAGGGAAGAGGGATACAAAGTTAAGGGCCTCTTAACTTTTGTATTGTGTGGTGTCCCCCCACCCCACTATATGAATACTACCTGCTTTAGAAAAGTTGGAAAACAAGAGAGTCAAGGAAAACCCCACTTAGGACCTAAATTTCAGGGCAGCTTTCCCAGACAAGGAAATGGCCCTGCTCAGAAGGCGATGAGAGCCATTCGTTGTCTGAGCTCGGTGGCATCTTAAAAGACCCACCCCTTTCCCCACCTGTCTCAAATTGAGGCCCAGGGAGGCTGACAAAATTGGGCAAGGTCATACTGGGACAGAGATGACCCCACAATCTGTTACTTGGTTTGACTAAGGTGATTTGTGGGATCATCAGAACAGTCTTGGAAGTAGGTCTTATCCCACATCACTTACCCTGTTAATATGTTGGGTTTTTCGGGAGGTGGTTTTTGTTGGTGTTTTTTGTTTGTTTGTTTTTTTAGAGAGGGTCTTGCTATGTAGTTCAGGCTGGCCTTCAACTTCCTATGTAGCCCAGGCTGGCCTTAAACTTGTGGCAAGCCTCCTGCCTCAGCCTCCCAAGTGCTGGGATTACCGGCATGCACCATCATGCCTGGCACTATTAATAGATTTTTAATAAAATCTACCGTCTATCATTGCTTGTAGCAAAGCAAGATTGCCTTTTGGAGCCAAGGAAGGGGTATGAGTGTGTCACCAATTCCGGTGAAACTTCTCATTCACCTCCATCTATAAAGTGGCCTCCTGACCAATGCCAAGACTAGTGCGGCCTTCGGTGCCAGACTTAAGGTTGGAAGCACAGAGAACGAATGCCAGCTGCTGGGCCAGGCTGAGACAGTGCTGCTGCAGGGAGGCAAATGGCAGGGAGATGGCAGGAGGGGCGCTCAGGCGAGTGACAGAGGTTGGCGCTGCAGAGGACAGAGCTCTAGCAGGGTCAGTGCGTGTTTGCCCTTGGGAGCCTAGCTTTTTCTGGAACACTGAATTAATGTCTTGAGTTCTGCCTAGGGCCCAGTGAGGAAGCATCATGGATAACAGGCGGTAGCAGGGGGAGAGAGGAGGGTTTGTGGCTGCAGGAGCAGCAAATGAGCCTGTGTAGATCCAGAGACATTGTGGGACTGTTGTCAGGTGGGCCAGGGTCAGGCTGACTCCGACAGGCAATAGGGGAGAGCAGGTGCTGACCAGTCCCCACGGCACAGAGCTCTTTAGAGGTGCAGTGACCAAGCCTGGAATCCAGCCTGAGCACAGTCGCTCAGGCCATTGTCTGGGCTGAGTCAAGGGGGAGCCATGGTGCTGCTTCATAGCGCCACCGATTCCTAGCTGTGTGGTATCCAAACTCTCTGATCTCCCCAGATAGTTTGTGAGCTGACTAATAGCACTTTATTAAATCACTCCTGATTCAACTAATCAGAGCAGACGCCATTGTTCACTATCAAGAATCTGGCCCAGAGCTGGGTGTGGTGGTACGTGCCTATAACCCCAGGACCCTCGAAAGCTGAGGCGGGAAGATTTCAAGTTTAAGGCCAGCCTAGGCAACTTAGCAAGACCTTATTTCAAATTAAAAAACTAAAAAAGGGCTGGGAATGTAGCTCAGTGCAAAGGCTCTAAGTTTAATCCTCAGTACAATGAAAAAAATTATATATATATACACACACATACATACACTGGCCAATATAGCTAGACTATAGAGACTCCCCATTTGTAGTTCAAGTTGGTTCAAAAGAAACTGCTTGCTCTGGCCTCAGGTCACTGGGCTGAAGGGGAGAAGGGCAGACAGGGGCAGAGCAGGGAGAGGCCAGCCTGGACCCAGACGTTTCCTGCCAAGCAGCTGGCTCACAGCACACGGCTCTACCCCAAGCAGCCAAGAACTGACATCTACTTCCACAGAAGTGCAGGATTTCTCCTTTTATTAGAGCAGTCCTTCAGGGGCACACCATTTCTTGGGCTGGGCTCAGGAGGCTGGTCCCACTGCCAGTCTTCAACCCAGGCCTTCAGCTTCAATCCCAGGATGCAGGCTCAGAAGTAGCCCCTTTGGGGCCTCCTCCAGCAGAAGCAGGAAGTCAGGGGGTTGTCCAGCAGCAGCTTCTCCTTGGCTTCCAGGACGTAGATGGTCTGCGTGGCAAGGCAGCTGACCATGGGATCGGGGTCTCCCTTCATGTGCCTCAGGGCTGTAACACAGAAGCTGCTATAGAGCAGGGCAGCCAGGGGTGGGAGGCCTGTGCCCAGTTTGAGGGATGAAGAGGGAAACAGGATGGGGCTGGGAGCTTCTAAGATACGAAGAAGAGTTCTAGGTTACAAGCAGACCCCAAGTCTGCCCTGGCTCAGGCCACCTGCCCACATCCTGTATCCATCACCAACCCCCTTGGGCCTCTCTGCTTTCCTTTCTCTGGCTCTGCCCTCCCCCTCCTCCACAGAATAGCTGTAGTGAAGTCCTCTGACCTCTGAGAGAACGGTAGGCAGGGCTAAGCCACTGTGTCTGGGAGCCAGCAGAATGAGAGGCAAGATGGAGGAAAAAGGACTTGCAGAGGACACATCCCAGAGCTATGGTGGAGAACACGTGGGCTATAACACCAGTTCTGGGAGTTCCCAAGGGAAGGGGCCGTGTCCCCCAAGGAAGAAGTCAGCTGTGTCTCCTAGGACAAATTCAAGGATTTGTCCTGGCTGGCACGTGGGCTCAAGCTCCACAGCAGTGAGAGTGAGTTAACGTGGATGCAGCAGGGGTCTGACCAACACCCTGAAACCCAACATCCTTGGAGAGAAGTCTCATTTTCTGTCCTTCTGGATGATGATTTTGCAAATACCCCTACCCACTTTCCCGCATTTCCGAGCCTTCCCCACAGACACCAGTACCTCTAAAAACCACCAGCTGTGGGCCACTCACCTGCATAAGCCTCCTCGATTTCGCTCATCTCTTCCGCATCCAGGATTTGGAGGATCTGGCCTGTGGGTGACACACAGAGCTACCTCAGTGGCCCCGCATGGGCTCTTCTCCAAGCAGTCACCATTCCCTCACTTGGCCTCCACCAAAGGACTTTGCCCATAAAGTTGGAATTAGTTCCCAGTTCCCTAAGGGTTCTAAGCACACTGGGCAGGAGAAGTGGTGGATATCACTCTGCTCCCAAGATGCTTGTCCCTGGGGTGATGCAAAGCAATGCCCTCTGCCTGACTTCCCGCACAGGGCAGCACCCAGACTCTGATCCTTCATCCTTTTGGGAGCTGGGCTACCCTGGCTACCTAGGACTTGGCCCGTCTGCTATGGGAAAGGTCACCCAACCTAACGGGGGGGGAGGGGTTACATCATTTCTGTAGGGCCTGTCACTATGCCTTCAGGTCCCAGGTCCTCAGACTGAAGGCCCCTGCAGCAAGGACACAGTGGCCCCAAGAAGGTGAAAGCCATACCTGCAAACCACACAGCTGCCTGGCGGATGGGGACCTGCGTGCTCTTGAACAAAGCTACACACTGCTTCAGGAACCAGAGGGCTTTGTTTGTCTCTTGCTGCAGCTGTAAGAGGTGTTTGATCACAGAAGGATCACAGAAGTTGCCACTTCTTCTGTCTCCTAGACTGTCTTGGGACTGAACTAGGGTTATCCATTGCGTGCAAAAGTCTTCCAAAATATCCTACATCTCTAACTCTCCTACCCCAGC